CCCCCCCCAAAAATAGGAATACCTTTCTCAGGCAGCAAAGGTGCCAGTTGTTCAGATTTTTCCACTGCCTTTTATGTATTATGAGCTTCCCTCCGCTAGAAAGCAGTGTGCTGAGGATTCAGAAACAGTGTTTGATATTCACAGTCAGGCTGTTGTCTTTTTCACAGAGTTAACAAGTTGACTAATGTTGCCAAGTTTGTGGATGACATAAAAATAGGCGGGAATACAAGTAGTGAGGGTGATACAGAGCCCATAGAGATTAAGCACATGGGCAAAAACTTTTGACGTGTGGGGGAAAAGTGAAAAATTAAGTATTTTAAAAGTGTAAGAGCTGAATATTATTTAAATGGAGAAAGACTGCAGAAAGCTACAGTGCAGGGGAGTGTGGGAATCCTTGTGTACAAATCACAAAAAGCTAACATCCAAGTTCAGCAGGTAATAGAGAAGGCAGTTGACGTGTTGGCCCTTGTTGCAAAGAGAATAAAGTATAAAGGTAGGGAGGTCATGTTAAAGCTTATAATCTGCACTGGTCAGACCATACCTGGAATACAATGAACAGTTGGTCCTCAGAGATAAGATTCACTAGGTTGATTCTGTGTCTGGGAGGGGATTTTCATATCAGGACAAGTTGAGTGGGTTGAGTTTTTGCTCATTGTAGCTTAGAGGAATGGGAGGTGACTTTATTGAAACATACAAGATTCTTGCGTAGCTTGACAGGGTACATGCAGAGAGGTTGATTCTTGATGTGAGAGAGATTTGGATCAGAGGGCATGACCTCTGAGTACTCGGTCGCCAATTTAAGATTGTTGAACCATAATTTCTTCTCTCAGGGCAATGAATCTGTGGATCTTTTAAGTGCAGTGGCTATAAAGGCTGAGCTGGGAAGTGTATTTAATGTTTAGTTAGTCAGATTTTTAATTTTTAAAGAAATCAAGGTTTATAGGGAAAGGCAGGAAAGTGGAGTTGAGGCTTCTTGATTAGTCATAGTCTCAGTAAAGACTGGAGTAGACTTGCAAGCCCTACTCAGCTCTGGTTATGTCCAAGCTGAGTGAATCCTTAAGGCTCATAACAGCTGCAGTATTTGCATATGAGGGTTGATTTCAGCATTAAATGGCAGTTAGCTGGTATTGTAGAGTTTAAATATATGAAGCTATCACTAACTTCTAATATTACCTTTTATCTGTGCAAGTAAATGATAGTATGGCAACATATGCATTTTCACACTTGTTTTCACGATACTGCTTATTAAACAACTCTATAGGTTTGAAAGAGTTTCTCCGTCTGCTGCTGCAGGCAATCATCAGAATGGGATGTTAGTGTGCATGTCAGTGTACAATTCTTCTTGTCTTAATGTTCAAGCAAGCAGGATGAAAGTTCTGGTGTGCAGAAAATAACCTCAATAGATGATCTGAAGACACGTGGCAGCAGAATATGTCACCAGAGACAGTCAGTACCAGAACATGACCCTATTTGACCCATTCTTGATCTCAAAGGCTTCTGATATTGATATGCAGATGGAATTTCTGCTTTGAATGAAAAAGCTTTCAAAAGTTTGCACCTTCACCATAGTTCACACTGGGAAGTGAATGTGTATTGCAGTCAGCGCTATCGTAGCTCCATGTGTTGTGAATGCTATTCAGAGTCCTGTCTGGTAATTACCTAATCTTGAACGTCTCCAGTATAACTGGTGGTATGGCTTGTTCTGAAAGTGTTAGGTCTACAAATCCCATGGTATGAGAAAAGCCAACTAAGTTAGCTTATTTAGTATTCTCAGGTTAGGTTTCTGAGACAGAGTTAAAGATGTTCTGATGTAAGCATTCTGCTGACAGTGTCAAGCCCTTCATGTCTGTGTAATGGAGTACAGTGTTGTAGCATAAATACTTGACAGGTTGCCTGGACCTATCTAGGTTGAGACAGATGGAGACAACTGTCTATCTGAACTATTTCTTTGTGCAATGGATGGGAGATGGAGAAGAGAGAAATGGTTGGAGTTCTATCATAGAAAGTAGTGAGTTCCTTGCATTGAAACCTGAACCTTACTCGTGTGTTTCTTCAACTCTTTCAATAAGGTGAACATGTAATGTTTCACTTATAGTTCTGTACTGTCTATTGTACCTATGCATCTTGTAACTATGCTGATGTTCAGCCTATCAACTTTCATGACAATTAGTTTTTTGAGGCAATTTGACCA